CTCTGGCCTGCACCCCAGTTCTGTATGCACAAATAAATAAATCTTTTTAAAAAAAATATATGAGGAAGGGATAATTAGACATAAATGAGAACTATAAATATTGATATGCATTTATGATCCAGGTAGGTAAGTAGGAAGACAGACACAATGGTACGCAAATTACCATTATAGATGGTAGACACAGGTTTGTGCATGACACCCTGGTAGTAAAAGCCCACTTGCTGTGGTTCTTATTTTCTAAATGCCATTTTCCACTAAAAGGAACCAAAACCCTTGGAGAAATGTTTAATTTCAGAGCTTGAAGCAGGTAAAACACAAGACAGACCTGGAAAAAATTTTGCTGAACAAAAGAGTAAAAAGTGCTCAAACAAAAGTGGGGACCTATCGGGCCACAAGAAAACAGCCTGAATGATTCTCAGTAACCAAATCTAGAACAATTTAAACATTGTAGGTGCTAAAAGTAGTACGTAAAAGCATAATCAGGACAAGAAACAGTCGATTCTCATCATCCACAGAATCAGTATTTGCAAATTCACCACGTGCTAAAACGTATTTGTAACCTCAAAATTACTGTAATATCTTTATTAGATTTCAACACTGTATATGATTTAAGGGAATAGTGTCACACCTCCCAGAGGTATGTCACCACACAACACCTGACACAAAAGCCTCCTTATTCCTTGTCATGGACAATCAGGCCCCAGTTTGTCCCCCAATAACTTCAAAGTTAATACTAGCAGCACTTAAAGACATGCACAAAGTGGCAAAAAGAAAAGAGGGTTATCGTATGCACCTAGTTGGTAGCAGAGCAAATTAACATAGTGTGGCTTCCATTACAATGCACTGACTACCGCACCATATCAGTGGTATGCCCACAAAGTGCCCAGATCAAGAGATTATACCATCAAACCCAAATGGAGAGATATTCCATAAAGTTTCTAGCTTGACTTTTTAAAAAGGTCAAAGTCAGGGCCCTCCCTGTTGGCGCAACAGGTTAGGACACAACACTGCAAGCTAGCTGCAGCTGCTTCAGTGCGAGTTTGATCCCTGGCCCAGGAGGTGACCCACATGGCATAGCAGACCTCTGCTGTCTCTCCCACTGCTCCCCTCAGCAGTGTATTTTGTCAATCTGCGTACTCTGCTCCCCATGTGTCTCTGGTGAAGCCTCTCACCGCCCCTGTAATTCTAGCCTGTACCCCAGCTCTGTATGCTTAAGTAAATAAATCTTAAAAAAAAAAAAAAATCAAGGTCATAAAAGGTAAGAAAAGATGAGGGACTGATCTAGATTAAAAGAGGCAAAAGACATGACAACAAAATATGATACCTGATTCTATCTTAAATATAAAGGCCTTTGTTGGGATAACTGGCAAAATTTGAAAGAGATCTGTGTTCTGATTGGTAGCATTGAGTCAATGTTCATTTCCTGTGTTTAATATCTGACCTGGGGTCATGTAGGAAATGTAGGAAGGAGAGTGTCCTTGTGTGTAGAAGAGACACACTGAACTAGCCTGGGCCATTGAGCAGCAAGGCTGTGACATCTCAGATGAGTCAGAAATATTAGTAATTGAGGGGAATAGAGTGCAAGATGCACAAACATGCTGTGTGGTATTTCTGAGCCTTTTATGTATAGTCAAAATTATCTCAAAAACATAAAGTGTAAATACGTAAATTAGCAAAGAGCTTGCTAATTCCATAAATTTGCAGCCAAATACCTGATTTTCATGTTGCAGAACACATTGTAGATAAATTTCTTAATGCCATTTATAAA